AAAAGAACGCGTTTTCAGAAATTTCAAAACAAACACTCAAAATACAAAACACAAAACGAATTTAAAACTCAAAACACAAAACTGAAATGCAAAGAGAAAAACCCCTTAATTTTTATCTGAATCGAGCTTCATCCCCCTCAAATCTTTGAATAAAATATAAAATAGCTTTATCCCCGTTCAACCCTTTGAATAAAAACAATGGTCATATCACCTTTTGGGAATTTGACTGACATTGTTGGTCGACGACTATAAAACTCTGAACTATACATGGAACGTATGCTTCCAGTCTACACGCACGCGGTTTAAATATTTCCCTCTTGCCTCGAACCATCCCCCAGTCCGAATACTCCAGTCGTAAATGTCAACCTCGTGCAGATATTATATATTTATACGTAATTACACAACATATAGATTCATAGATAGAATTCCAAAGGGTGCGTAAGATGGCAGAGATGAGCGGTGCCGGCGGCCAGTATCCGGATTTTCCGGCCGTGGCGACCCACGGCGGAAAATACATAAAGTACAATATCTTTGGAAATTCATTTGAGATCACTGCAAAGTATCGGCCGCCAATCATGCCCATCGGCCGCGGGGCATATGGCGTCGTGTGGTACGTGTTTTTACTTGATCGGAAATCAACGGTTCTGTTTGTTTCTATCTCATTTGCTCACAGATTTCAGTCTTAACTCATTATTATTTCAGATATTGCTCCAAATATTTCGATTGAACTGTTTATAACTGTATTTTGAAGCTCGATTTTGAATACGGAGAGTAATGAAATGGTGGCGATGAAGAAAATAGCAAATGCTTTTGACAGTTATATAGATGCGAAGAGGACTCTTCGAGAAATTAAGCTTCTTCGTCATTTGGATCACGAAAATGTATGTATTTCTTTCAATTAGTAGATTCTAATTTCATAGCATGGAATTTGGGCCTGAAAATTTGAATCGTAAAAATTTACTCAATTTTTTTTTTTTTGATGAAAGTCTGATTCCATGTGCTGAATTTTGTGGTGCAAATGAAGCATCTGCGGACTTCAATTTGATTTTCTTTCCTTGCTAATCTAATCTGGTGACTGATTAAGAAAATTTAGTTAAATACTGCAACTTGCAAGTTTACTCTTCTTGTTTGGTTAAATTTTTTCCTTCTCTCTTTCCGTCATCCCTAGGTGTGCTATATTAATTATTTTATTTTATTTTTTTAAGTCTTTTGTTTGACTTTTAACTTACTTTTTTAATTTTAAAAAAACTTTACATTTGGCGTTAATTTCAATTTTTTAATAGTTTTAAAAATTACTTTATCTAAATAGTTAAATAAAATTTAAGTTATAGTGTCGTCTACATTATGTAATTATAATCTTTAGACTCGTTATTTTGTTGCAAATTCCAAAAGCATGTATAAAGTTTCGATAAATATATTAAGTAGGACTTGTCTAATTGAAAATCGAAATTATAAAAAATATTTAATTTTTGCATTTCGAAAACTTGAAAATTGTATAATTGATTAATGATATGAATTATTAAATAAATATAGTATTTTATAACTTTAGATGTTTGATATGTATTATTCTAATTATTAAATGATATTTAAAATGATTAAAAATTTAAAATAATATTAAAAATAAGAAAATATTTTTTTATGCCTAAGCCTCATTTAGGCTCGCTTAACCAAGTTTGAAGTTTCGTCTCCACACATGGCCACGCTTTACCTTTTTTAAAACAATGTTATTTAGTGATTTAACCTAGAAATTGAACTCGAATAATTAATTAATTAGAACAAGCCTACTAGATGTCCTCTGAAATCGTGTTAATGGTAAATGAGGAAGAAGTTAACGAAAAATCATGTTGAAGTATTCTTAGTATAATTTTGTCGATATGCGTTAGTAGTGAAGTTGGAAAAATGAGGATCACACTATCCTATCCTTTGTGGACTTGACTCGAATAAAATTTAACCATCTGAATTGACAAAAATCCACAAGTCATCTGCATTTTCCCATAACTACAAGAACTTTGTTCCTACATCGGGCGGTTACTTTTATATAGTGTAAAAAGAGGCAATTTTGGAATACTGAAAATTTTCTGAGTATGACAGAGAGTACTACACTTCCACCTTCTTGAAGTTTAGTTTGTTGTTGATAAATGTCACTTGTCACCTGGTACAAATTTCATTTAAGCTCAAGAAATGTGAAACAGGTGATTAGCATAAGAGATGTAATTCCTCCTCCTTTAAGAACGGAATTTACGGATGTCTACATTGCCACTGAACTCATGGACACGGATCTTCATCAGATAATTAGATCTAATCAGAGCTTGTCTGAAGAACATTGTCAGGTATACTCTTTCTTTTGTGTATTTTGAATGTTGAAAGCCAGAACTGACATTTCTTTAAAACTTGTCTACTTTCAGTATTTCCTGTATCAGATTCTTCGAGGTTTGAAATACATACACTCGGCTAATGTAATCCATAGAGATATGAAGCCCAGCAACCTGCTGCTGAATGCTAATTGCGATCTTAAGATCATTGATTTTGGTCTTGCACGGCCTACCTTGGAAAATGAGTTCATGACTGAATATGTTGTGACCAGATGGTACCGGGCTCCTGAGCTGTTGCTTAATTCCTCGGAATATACTGCTGCAATAGACGTGTGGTCTGTAGGTTGCATCTTCATGGAACTTATGAACCGAAAACCTTTGTTCGAGGGAAAAGATCACGTGCATCAGATGCGCTTGGTGACGGAGGTGAATTTTTTATGCTTTTTACACATTTAGAACTGAATAGATTTTTTGCGAGATTAACTTATTCAGAAAATCACTGAATACCATGTTTTCATATAATTAATGAGTGGTTTTTAGTTTTCACAGAAAAAATTTCTCATGGTGATACCATTTTTTGTAGCTTCTGGGCACTCCCACAGAATCTGATCTTGATTTCATCCTAAATGAAGATGCAAAAAGATATATCCGGCAACTTCCACGACATCCCCGTCAGCTGTTAGCAAAGGTTTTTCCACATGTAAATCCATTAGCCATCGACCTAATTGATAAAATGCTGACAATCAATCCTGGAAAGAGAATTACAGGTAATTTTTGTTATTGTTTTCTTGGCTAGTTTGATTTTCTGTTCTGAGATACAACTTTAATACATTAGAGAAGAACACGTTATCTAAATTTAGTCTTCAACAGATAGGATTCATTTCATCGCTTGTTGGTCCCTTTTTTACACTTACCTTGCTCATGTCTTAATAAGTGATTTATATTTTGATGCAGTTGAAGAAGCTTTGGCGCACCCTTATCTTGCAGGACTGCATGACATAGCCGATGAGCCAGTATGCTCAGAACCATTCGCTTTTGATTTCGAGCAGCAAGTCTTAACAGAAGAGCAGATAAAGGATATGATTTACCAGGAAGCTTTGGCTCTAAATCCAGAGTATGCTTAATATAAACAATCATCAATCCAATGAAATCTCCTCACGGTGACAGACACGATGAATTATTGAACATTGTGAATTGCTGATCAAATGGTAGAGAGACTTCAAATTGATTTATTCTGGAATTATATTTATATCTCTGACTCTGAGGAGAAATGTCTTCAAATTTCTAATCGGACAAGGCCTCGACATCTTTTTAAGGTTAGTTTTAAAAAAAGTTAATGGATTTCTTTATGTATCTATATGATATTTCTTTTAAGGGCTTGAAACAGGGTTTTGTTCTTTTTATTAGATTGAATGTAAATCAGGGATGTAACTTGAGTTCCAAAAGATGCTATTTTGAAGCATCAAAACCTTTATGGCTTAATATTGACAGAGAATTAGCAGTGTTGATGCTTTTTAGTGAAATGTGGATATTACAAGATTTAGCCCCATATAAATTTGAATCTGCCAAAGTTTATGAAATTTTCTTACAATGCTCTCCTTCCTCTGAAAGGAAGTAAACGATGATCCCCATAAAACAAAAACATCAAAAGAAATTATAGCCAAAATATAACAGGTTTTTATCTTAAAGAATTCAACTAAATTTCCGAGTAGAAATGTTAAATTGTAGTTTACATAGAGAGAAGAGACATAGTAGCAATTTAAACAAGAACTGAGGTTTGGTGGCAGCATGGTGGAGGTAACAACTAACAAGTCAAAAGTTCATTCTCTGAAGAAATTCACAACCAGTAAAATAGAACCAACTGGTCTAACCAGGCTTTAATCTCCAAAACACAAGGTAGCATTCATTTGTAAGATTTTGTCATTTTACAGAATTTTAAAAACTGAAGCAAGGAACTGCTATGGTCACGCGTGTGTATGTTTGGAGACAAAGAAAGCAAGATGCAATCCTCTACTAATGGGTAAAATAAAATTTGCATGAAATAATCAAAACTTAATAAAAAAAAAAGGGCTTTCCCTATCATTTATAATGTTAATTCATCTGGAAAATTAGAAGTTCATTTTATGTTCTTTTTCCTTTTCATTAGCTTGTTCTTAGCATTTGGAAGGTATTCACTAATTTTACTCAGCATCTTGTAACAAAGTTTATGTTAACAAAAGCAAGACTAATGTCAAAATTAAACATCATCGACTGCGATCAATTAGCTTAAGAGATAAAGATTTTACTTAATTAAGATAAAAAGATTAAACCAAAAATCAAAGCTCAAGACATTAAAAAAAATTTCATTACAATTCTAGCCTGCGCATCGAGTTGTGTCCCATCTCTGCTAACGCTCTTAAACTCTTCAAATTATGAGTACCAGCTGAAAGCAATTACTAGTCTACAGGAACGTTTTGTATTGTGGGCAAACGACACTTTCCATGTAATATTCAATATAAATTGAGTGTAAACTACCTTGAATTCCGACATCCTCCAATTTATATCTATTTTTCAATCAATAAACACAAGGTAAACGCTAGCCAAAACCACCATGGTTAAGTCCTGAAAATCTCGCCTAGTTCCTGAAAATAACTTTGTGCCTACCAAACCAGGATGTTCAAATTGAGTACACAAAATATGTATGTAGAGGAATGCTAGACCAGTTCCTACTTTTTTTAGCAGGAACCATAAGATTTTATTTGACATCATGAACAAAAAACTTCTCATTAAAATACGTTAGCTTATCTGCAGCAATTTTTAATAGAAAAATACCTGATATTTCTTAAGCAATAACCTCCGTGACTGATTAGTGTTGACCTCGAAAAGATGATAAACCAATTCCCCTAACATAGTTGGGACTTTCTCCTCTTACACTCACTATTTTACCACTTGAGAAGAGAAATGACTATTTGAAAGGAAGATATTTCAATTTCAACATGTCATTCTTCATTCCAAGCATGCCTATTTATACATTTCTATTCAGGCTTTGGGATATATGGGTCTCTTTAGTTAGTGACATGTGGCATCCATTGATTGATTCATTACTTGTCTACTTATGTGTCCTTCATTCATTGATTACGAAGCTTCGATGGAATCAATTTACCACTTTTAGTTGCAAGTTCTCGCACTTATTAATGTCCGCTTCAGCTTTCTAAGTTTCGCATATCCGGGGCATGAGTTCACCAATATTCCTTTATGAGTTTTTGTTAATCAACAAATAGTCCACGAAGCTCGAATCTAATCATTTATGTTTAGATTTAGGACTTTTTCGAGATCTTAAAATGTTTTGATTATTTTTGAATTTTTAATCTTTTATTTACTGTTGCAATCAGGCCTTTTTATTTACTTGGACTGATTTTGAGTGAAATTGGTTATTGAACAAATAATAGTCCCCGAAATTGGAGCTTATCTATTTACTAGGTGCAAGCAACGTGCAATGCACGTTTGCTTAGTTTATATTTAATATTTTTGTAAAATAATTAATTTGTTATTAATAAAGATGTGGTTTTTTGGTTAATTAAGGACGTGTCTGGGCGCGCTGTA